CCTTGAAGTAGCCTTTGATCAACTGATTGGCAGCTTAGTGATGCGCAAAACTTTGTCAATGCTTCAAGTTGTTAGGCATGGTTTGTTGAGCCTTTTGCCGAAGTGGATTCACCTCATTGTGCAAAGGATCACAGATATTGAGTGTGTCCATTTGTACAGATGATCTTCCCCTGGTTCACAGAATGTACACTACTCACTGCATCCAGCACCGTCCACCAGATCCAATCAGTATCCTACACCAAGTTGACCAAAGAAAGGGTGTAAGCTGCATAGAGTGGCGCTGTCCATTTCTGCAAAAGCCGTGATCACCTGATTTGTATCCAACCTAACTGTTTTTCCCATTTTTTTTGTAATGAGTTTGTTTCTGTTGATTGCAGCATATTGCAGCTTCCACGGCTCAAAATTAGTTGGCAGGTCGTTGTTCAAATGTAGACGGTGCAGCATGCGTCCATTTCTGCGACGTGAGACATGAGGGGCCCCAAGCAGAGTACAAACTCAGCTCTTCCTCGCTCCAGCCCCAGTGTGTTGAATCGTGCTGGGAGAGGCGCAAGCGGCGCAAGTGAGAAAAAACTGGTTGCTTCGGGATATGACGCAAATGCTGCCTCTTCCCGCGAATCCGATGCTGTTCAAAGAAGTGAACCAGACTCCAGAGCAGGTTCAAGTCATCGAGTTCCTTCCCGTACACGGCCGTCAGCTCTGGGCATGGCATATGCACGTGGGGCGCAGAGAATGAGAGCAAAGCAAGCACAGGGGGCATTGCAATCAGATCACGAGAAGCCTCTCTTCGTCCTAGAACTGGTTGTGCGCATCGCGTGCGCAGCATTTCAAAATGCATGGAGAGAAGTGTGTGCAGTGAGAGCATGTTCACTTCAGCTTCGGGATATTTGCTCTGAGGATCATATCTGGGAACAGCTGTTCAAACTGCGATGGCCGCAACAAACGATCGCGCCAACACAACAACACTATTCAGGATGGCGAAAAGCGTTTTTGACCCGCTTGCGACGAGTCCAGGCAAGTTTCCTTGCGCGGAATATGCCAACTTTGGTGCAAAAAAATCGGCGCCGTGACGGATTTCCAGATTTACGGAAGGTGTACGAGGCCTTGCGGATGAGCTTTTCTTTGTCGATTTCACAGGGATCAAAATCTCAGCAATTCTTTTTCAAAGCCGACACCTCTATACAGCTTTTCGAGTCTGCGTTGTGCCTTCGATGTACATTCTCAAGTCAGCTTCGTCACCCTTTGCATTTTCACCTTCGAGGTAGATCATCTGCTGTGGGAAAGGAGGAGCTTATTTTGACATCAAGCCTGCAAAAGCCACAGGACTGGCAGGAAGCATCGAGTGAAGGGGACTGCAAGTTTTTGAGAAGCCCGTGTGGCCGTCTCTTTTTGGCATTTTGGAGTGACAATACTCTCGCTGGTATGTATGTCACATTGCATTATGCACAAATCTTGTGTCCTGTACTTGGTGAAAGCGAAGCTTGGGCACTGCTTGCTGCACGGCCACAGCCAGATGATCTGGATTCCTGTCTCGGGCTTCATGACTACACAGTCGCCTTGTCTCTCCGAAGTGCGAAACTGGAATGCTTTTCCAACACCTTCTACAAGGTCCACTTGTTCGGATTGGGTTCTAGCACCAACAAGTCCGGATTCGGCGGTGCCGGGGACTTACTCATGCTTGCCAGCACCCCATTCAATCCATGCACGTTTGGGCCCACATCTTTGGCTCAGTGCCACCATCAAGGTTGTGGTGGACAGCCGAAGCTGTGTGGAAAGCTCGGTTTCATTGTGGCTTCACTATAGTTTCAAGTTTAAGATATTTGAAGGTTGGCCAGCTAAATTCCATGGAATTCCTACCACGTTTGAGCATTGAAGTCAAGGGCACCGCATATTTTTTTTCAGATGTTCCAGTTGCATAGCGATTGCGAGGTGGAGCAGAGACATGCCCCAAGTGCAGCTTCGGTGGCTTGACATGGTTTGACCCAGTGGCAACCCGGTGGACGACAACTCAGCACTGCCTGGGTCGGAAGCTCCAAGGCAAGGCCTGTGTCTCGTCACCAGCGCAGCGACAAGGCCTACCATGAAGAGGTGGGATGAATCATGATGAATCGACAGAAGCACAAACATTGACACATCTCCTCTTCTTTGTGATAACAGTATTGTTTGACCTTGAAGACGTCATCAATGAATTGGATGGACATAGTTTGATGTATTGTACTCATAGTACTTGATGTTGCAATGATTGGGCTGTCTCCGCACAGTCTACATGTGCACAAGCGACAGGTTTGCCACTTTGAGGTTTTGGCGCCCCATGACTCTGGAGTCCAACCTCCGTTTCTTGGTATGTTCCTGTCAACTGCGTAGGGCCAATGCGAGAAAATGCTAAGGTTTCCGTGTACACGACCTCCGCAGATAACCTTTCAGACGGCTGCCTTCAAATCAATCTTGCTCGGAACTCAGTCATGATATGAACCTTTGGAATCAGAACTGTTCTGGAGGCTTTCATACATTTGACTCATTTGACTCATTTGACAGAGTACTCTTTTAGGCAGAACCACACTTTCATGGATGTGACTGTTTTCGATGAGCACGGACACATCTTTTGGGCTGCGTCACATCCTCAGCGCTGCGAACTTGCCCAGCTGAAGATGACATGTGTTGAGCTGAGATTGTTTTGAGGTCAGCAGTGTGCCAGGCGACTGAAGTCTTGGCCTCACTTCACTGGTACTGTACTGGTACTGGATGATCTTGGTTCACTGCGGTTCACTTTTAGACCATGGAGGAAGAATTCAGCATCTCCAGACCATGTATTACATGTATTCACTTTCCCAGTTCTTGCGCTGCCTCTTGGAATTCCTGTAGCGAGGTGTGTCCTCATGAATCCTCCATGGAGAGGTATGTGCAGGTCCAGTTAGAGAGACTGAATCAGAAGATTGCAAAGTTCTGTAGTCTGCTTATTTGTTTTGTAGACTTGGACATTTGGAATTGCGATAGAGATGTGAAATTCCAGACCACACTTGACTTGCAGTTGTAAAGATGATTCTTTGTTGTTTTTCCATCAGTGTAGCTTGCAATACTGCAGCAGCGCTTGCGAGGTCGACTTCGATCGCAGCCGATTCCTCAGATTTGATACGGCCATCTTCCCTCATCTTCCATCATCTTCCCTCATCTTCCCTCATCTTCCATCATCTTCCATCATCTTCCATCGTGTTTCCATGTGTTTCCCAATGAATAAATCTCTGAGGCACCTCAGCGGGAAGTCGACCGGCCCGAATCTCAGATCCCGTGACAGTTGACATGGCACCATTGAACCATTGACACCTACATCACCTACCCTGAAAACTGTCATGGAACCACTATTTTCTGGTTGTAACCAGTGGTTGTATGGAAAATTGGGTGGTTCACGATTTCGGACGTCAGGTGCAGTGGCTATGCCTGGCAGACCGGGGAGCTGCTCAAGTCTTGGTGCAGCCCGTGGGCCCAGTATCGCTAGCTATCAATGCATACCAATACCAACATATTTGTCATATCACACCGGTATATAATGGTATATACTTCTGTATACATGCACGATTAGAAAATAGATTCATATAGTATAAATAATACTAAATAATATTAAATAATCTATATTGCTGGAACATTAAGGGTTAACTGGGGGTATATTGTCCATTTGCACCTGTAATTGAAAATGCAACTCAGTCGTAAGGGGGTCACACTCCAGCAGAAGCCAGCCTTTTTTTTGGGTGTCTGCCAGAACGGCTTTGATGATGCAAAGATGTGCAATGAATAAAACGTGCTCCTTGCAACCTTCTCAGGTTGGAATATGACTGCAGTACGTCAACCATCGGGGATTCAGGCATGCAGCCAAGTCAACAGTACAGACTCATAGATATCGTTCGAACAGTGCTGCACTCTGCCTCAGAAGCCCGAGATGTGAAACGCCTGTTGCAGACTGAATCACCTACTTTTCGTCATTCGCAGGCAAACGTCAACCGGTTCCGCGCGTAAATGCAGTGACCCTGCATCCTGAAGTCGGCTTTCTGGATGAATGGTCCGACTCTTTGCTGGACCGCTCAAGTATGTTGTTGTTGAAGTCTGTCGATTCAGGATTGATATTCCTGAAATGAAGCTTAGGTGGGGCTCAAGACACTGGCCAAAGCATGCCAAGCACAAGATCGATCATGGCCCTGAGAGAAGCGATCCATAGTAGAACCATGGCCATAGGAAGTGTCCGCAGATCACCGGACACATGTGCCGTAATCTGCATACAGAGTGGCTCTGCTTTGCATGCCAAAATGGTCTGACAGAAAAAGACCGAGAGGGTGAGAAGCAAAAGGAAGCACAGTGTGACGAAGAGTAAGTGCAATGTGGCTTGCCACGCTGCTTCTCCCTTTGCTACTCTATCTACTTTGATTCTTTTGCTCTTTTCCGCGATAGAATCTTGAAGTTGCACGAAGATAGATTTAGCCTTGCAGCACCATAGAACTGCTTCTGGGTTCACCATGCCATTATGCCTTGACACCGTTATCGAGTACATCTTCTGCAAGTCTGCCGTGAAAAATATTGATTTGTGGCGGCATGCTGTTTGAAGATGGTGGTTTGAGATAATTTCAGTGCAGCATGTATGTTTTTCACTTTGACATCTTTTCCAAAGATAAAAAACAGTGCAGCACCTGTCTCACCAATTTGCCATCCCCACTCGCAGAGTTTGGGAGTCATGTTGCCTATACCATCCTATACATCCTATATTTGTACCTGAATGACTTGCCTCCCACAACATCAAACCACACACTTTCCCACAAATTTGCGGTAGAAGGCGGAGTTTGTTCACATGTTGCAAGTATTTGTTTAGTGGCGACGTAGTATTGGTCCGGACTATCCTTCCGCAAAAAAAGGACACGCAGGACTACCACCGCCCGGTTCTTCCGTTATTTTTTTGAGTGAGGAAATGTAACAGTGACGAGCAAACTTGCTAGAAAAAGTGCAAACAGGGAGTGACGATCCAGCGCCAAACTATGAACAACGGACAGCTGCAGCACAACCAGAAATTGAACAACATGTTGCCAAATCTGCTGGCACTTTTCCCGCAACCCCTTACAAAGGCCGCGACCCTTGAACGACCAACTATGAGGCGCACTGCCCTCGCAAGGTCTCACGGTTGCTTCGCTCATAGTAGTTTTTCACCGCCAACAGGCGAAAATAGCAACAAGACAAAAACCAAAGGATATGCCACCAAACAAAAAACAAAGGCAAAACGGCAAAACATAATCAACAAGAATAACTGCACTGAATAAACAAATGAAAAATCAACACATGAACAACAATAGCAAAGTTACTGGGGTAGCACATTGTTAGCACAACATGTACAACATGCCAAATTTCAAGCAACCATGATTCATTATACAGCCCCAAACAAATCCAACCGGTGCGAATCGATTTTATTATTCGGACATGAATGTACGAGACAACAAGGCGCAAACGGCTGTGACATGCGAATGCTGCACAGAGGACCTCCTGGCAGAGTGGAAACGTCGTATGTTAATTACAAAATTGTCAAGCCGTTGCGGATGTGATATATATATATATTATTATCGAAGGAAGTTTAGAAGTCAAACTTCCAACAATATGGACAGATGAAAAGCAGAATAGGGCAGAGGCAGAGAGAAGAGAAAGATTAGAAGAGAGAAGAGTAGAAGAGAAAGAGTCAGAAGAAAGAAGATGCAGATGCGCGAAAAGGTAGGAAAGTCGCGAAACACTGTATTTTTCCAATGATTTGTGGCTCCGGAGGGTCGAAAAGTAGGCTCGCTAAAGCGGCGGGTGCGGAGCCAGCTGGCCAGATGAGAGATGAAAAAGTGCACGCCGTTGTGGCGCGAAGCACATTTGCAAGTCAAAATGTACAAAACACACCAGGTTCAGACCACTTCTGGAAGTTGAGATGTCGAAAAAGTGCACGCCGTTGTGGCGCGAAGCACATTTCGAAGTCAAAATGTACAAAACACACCAGGTTCAGACCACTTCTGGAAGTTGAGATGTCGAAAAAGTGCACGCCGTTGTGGCGCGAAGCACATTTCGAAGTCAAAATGTACAAAACACAACATGTTCGCGCCACTTTTGGAGGTTCAGATCTCGAAAAAGTGCACGCCGTTGTGGCGCGAAGCACATTTCGAAGTCAAAATGTACAAAACACTAGGGGTTCGGACCACTTTTGGAGGTTCAGACGTCGCTTCGCTTCGCTTCGGGTCATTACACTACACTATACACTCCACTACACTACAGTGCATTACACTACACTACACTCTGCAACACTACAACTACAACTACAGAACTACACAACTACACTCCACTACACTCCGCTACATTAAATTACAATACATTACACTACACTCCACTACACTACATTACACTACACTATACACTCCACTACACTACACTTTACTACATTACACTACACTACATTCCACACACTACAGTACATTACACTACACTACACTCCACAACACTACAACTACAACAACAGAACTACATACACTCCACTACGCTCCACTACACACCGCTACACTAAATCACACTACACTACATTACACTACACTAGAAAGATCGATAGATAGATAGACACATAGAAAATAGATAGGTAGGTAGGTAGATAGTCAGAGAAAGAGAGAGAAAGAGTGAGAGAGATCAAGCACCTTTCAGTCCATCAGTGGCTTCGCTCTGCCATCCCGGATTCACAACAACCAAACTCTCCTATAGGTTTCCTATTTTTGAAACTTCCGCCACCGCCTTGTGCGGTACTACTGGTACTCATACTTATATAATCTTATATATATATATATATCTATTAAACATTGAAGTAAACAACGCAGCCTCCTTGCCTGCGGCTCAAATACCCGCCGTTCTCCAGAGTTCAGGTGAAGGAAGTGCTTCCGGTTCCCTCATAATATTCTTCCTTCATACCGCCCTTTATATTCACCGGACTGTTTTTCAGACTGAGGCAGGCCTGTTTTTCTGCCATTGCCTGTCAGGCAAGGACGTGCGGATTGACTCGTGCTTTCTATACACCGGTTTATTTTTCTGGGTCAAGGCCATCATGGTTGATTTTTTAGATCCTCCAACCGTTTGTTTCTATTGTTTAATTTGTCATTACTGCCCGTCAGTTTTTCCTTCTTTGAGTCACCACTTCTGGAACGCAATTCTTTCTCAGTGCGGTCATTACGATATCTTTCAAGTCTTCCACCCTCGAGAGTTGCACCATGTCAACAACATATTTTCGCGTTGCTATCACAATGCGTTTAGCGACCTTAATTAAACTGCAACCTTGCATACGGGGAGAGTCGCAGCATCACCAAGACTTGCCTGCACAATCATGCCAACGTGGTGCATCACCTCCAATGGCCATCCGTTTTTCATTGACGCTTCACATCTTATTTCGCATCGTAAATGGTTTGCACAGAAATCAGTTGCTGCTTCGCTTCTGCTTCTGCTGCTTCTTCTGCCCGTCCGAGTTTCGGTGAGACCACGATCCAAGCGGACAAAGGCTTACGACGATCACGTATTGATACAGAACTCCCTGTGCAAACCAGCATGGCAGAACCATCTTTGACTTTGCTTAGGTGCTGCTTCGTGCTGTTTGCAATCTTCGAAACGTGGTCCGAGAGTCCGGCGACATGCGCACGTTTGTTAAACCCATTGCGTTCCCACTACACTCTCGTGCTCTGGTTTCGACGTGTTGTCCAGATCGAGACGCGCCCAACGGAAAGAGAGACGCTGCTTTGGCCTTGGTTTCATTCGCAACTCGAGTATTTCCCAGATTTTTTTAGATTCTTTTCGTATTTCTATTTCCGAAACAGTGATGACTCCTCACCAAAAATATGGCAAAGGGCAACTCTAGCATTGGTGCTGGTTTGCTGCAGGTGTAAATAGGCGTTTCCACCTGACCCCACCCCACCCCAACCACCCCAGCATCAAATGCGTGCATATACCAAGTGTGCAAGTGTTTGGGAACGCTACCACCCCGTTCCCACCTTATTCCTGCCCCACCCGAAATTCTAAACTCCGTCCACCTTGCTGCACCCCAGACCTGCATTCCAGACTTACACCTTCCCCACCCCACCCGCCACCCCACCCGTCACACACCACCCACTACGCCATGCCTCTTCCTCTCCACCAAGTGCGTGAACATGTTTTTTGAGTGATGGTTGCCATCGCATCAAGTGCATGTGAAAGTGTGAAGTGAGCAGGGGTCAGGGACATTTATCACCTGAACGTTACCCCCTCCACCTTACCCCACTTCAACCCACCACCTCAGTCTCAAGCGCGTGTTCACGTGTCAGTGACCGGCACCCTATACCACCCCACACCAACTCAGCGACCCCAAAGCACGTTTCATTTTTGTCTTCGAGGGACCTTGTCACTTACATAGCGTTAGTGTGAACAAAGCTCTGGTTGGATTGCGGTGGCGTAAAATGGTTTTGTCAGGAATGTGCTGCGTGGGCATTGTGCGTAAACATGGTGTGTACGCCTAAGCACATGTCGTCATGTCTAGTAATTGGAAAATCAAAGTGTCCAAATTTGGTTTCTTTGAGGAAGTTCGAAATTGAGGGAATAAGGATTTGAGGTTGCACTGGTGGAAGGTGATCATGCAAACTGCATCAAAGCATTCATGAAACCAGCTTGAGGTGAAACCACAGGATGTGCGAAAAAATAGGCACTCGCTTTGCCAAAGCCACTCTATGCACGTATCCACATGGATAAGGAGATGCTGCTAAATAATTCTTCCGAACTCAAATGGACATAACCGGCAGCAAAGGTATCTCCTTTCAGCATGTCGCGTTGCAATATTGGCCTGTGTTGGGCCCAGCTTGGGCTTGAACCTTTTCAAACCGACCCAACCTTGGGCCGTGGGCCTTTTGCCTTGTCCACATATGTACGGAGGGTATTTCAAAGCGTTGCGTTGGCAGGTATGATGGCTGGTGGTGAACTTTCTCCGGGAAAAATGACTGGTTATTTGAAATTGCCATGGTGAACGATTCCACAATTTTGTGGTCGTCGCATATAAATAGATTACCAATGTAGCGATGTGATGTCCTTGGAAAAGTTGCTCGAGACAGATGCGTGCATGGGTTTGGATGTTGAAGGCAGAGGCTGCAAACAAATGTTTGCGTCCCAGAATGCTTGGTGCCTTTTTCCGTAGCACATCCCACGGCTACTTCGCAAGGGAAACACAATTCTTGTGGTCTTTTTGGTTCAGGTTTGTTGCTTCTTTACGCCGAAAAGTTGTAGATTCCGAGGGGTCAATTTGAGTGTTTCCTTAGTCGATGCCGGAGAGACTTGACGATGTCAGTGCTGGTGACGCGGCTGACCGCGGCTGACCGCTGCTGACTGCGGCTGACCGTATACTTAATTAAGGGTAAAATCTACAGAGGAATAAGGTTCAAGGATCAAGGTTCAACATGCGCAGGGCATGGAACATGGCTGTAGATGGCGGCGAGCGCAACGGTTGAATTTTCAAATCCGAAACTACACAAACGAGAAACAAAAAATGGAAAACAAGAAAG